GCTGATGGTGCCCGGCTATCAAAAGATATAGCCTCTGGGGTCTTAAAGGCTTGAAGGTAAACAAGTGGCCATCTAGCTTAGAAACCACAAAGCCCACATAGAAGAAGCACACCAGCCTGTGTGATCATGGGATGCCGAAGGGATCAGGTAGCAGGCATCATCAGAACAAAAAAATCTTACCATAGTGAATGAGGGGGGGGTGCAGAGTGGAGACCCGAAGCCCATAAATAGGCAAATGGACACCCCTTACAGAGGGTCATGGGAAGGAAATGAGCCAGTCAGGGTGCAGTGTAGCAATGATGAAACATACAACTTTCCCCTAGTTTCTAAATATTTCCTCCCCCACCACTATTATGACCCCGATTCCACCTTACAAGTCTGGCTAGACCAGAGGATGTACACTGGTACAGATAGGAACTGGAAACACAGGGAATCCAGGTCAGATGATCCTTTCAGGACCAGTGGTGAGAATGGCGATACCGGGAGAGTAGAAGGAGGGCAGGATGGAAAGGGGAAACTGATTGCAAGGTTCTACATATACCCTACTCCCTGGGGGATGGATAACAGAACAGTGAGTCAAGGGAGATGTCAGACAGTGTAAGATATGACAAAATAATAATTTATAAATTATCAAGGGTTCCTGAGGGAGGGGCAGTTGGGAGGGAGGGGGAAATGAGGAGCTGATGCCAGGGGCTTAGGTGGAGAGCAAATGTTTTGAGAATGTTGAAGGCAATGAACGTCCAAATGTGCTTTACTCAATCGATATATGTATGAATTGTGATAAGATTTGTATGAGCCCCTAATAAAATGATTTTTTTAAAAAAAGGTTGAATGTTCAAACCAATCCAGAAGCAACTTCAGAGAAAAGCCTGGCAATCTTATGCTGAAAACTCAGTCACAGACACACTTGAGGAACGCAGTTCTACTCTGACACGTGGGGCTGCCATGAGTCAGAACAAATTCACAACTGTTTTTTCAGTGTTTTCTACAAATATCAAAGTAGCTTCAAGAAACTGAGCGTACTTCAGCATAAGTAAGATAAGGTAGATATGAGGAATATCACACAAGGTGATTCTAGAAATACAGGAACCAGATAAAAATAACAGGCTTAAAATTTTGTTCTCTAAAACCTGACAGGAGGAATAATCAAAACGTTTTAAGCAGAGAAG